AGGCGGGACTAGAACTCCCAGTCTCCTGCTGATTGGCCCAAAGTCACTCAGCTGGCTTCCATGCCTAAAGCGGGACTAGAACTCCCAGTCTCCTGCTGATTGGCCCAAAGTCACCTCGCTGGCTTCCATGCCAAAGGCGGGACTAGATCTCCCAGTCTCCTGGTGATTGGCTCAACATCACCCAGCCTTTTTCTGTTCTTTTTTCAATAGACCATCTTCGAAATCAACGCCACCAACAAAACCCTGGCCAGTGACGTCATGCGGGCCAAACGGATCCGTGACCGGCAGTCCATCGACCGGCACCAACGGAAGCAGGAGGAACGGCTGTCCTTGGCGGCTGTGAAAGCTCAAGGCGTGGCTGTCCGAGAAGAACCGATGGAAGACGGGGAAGACCACATCCAGGTCACATAAACTCATATAAACCAGGGAGGGGCCCTGACTGTTTGAGAACATGTATTTTCTTAACGGATGTTTTTATCCACTATTAATTATAACGTGTCAGTATTTTTTTTTTTAATGTATACTGTAAATAGTGATGTCCATTGCTGGTCCAAGACCGTAATAAAGTTATATTCATTCACATCCAAGGGAGGCGTTTCTTGTGCTGCCTTCAGGTGCTTTGGAGAATAGCTTTGGGGCAGCCCCTGAGATAGTGGAAGGCTGCTATCGTGTCACCCCTAGTCCTTCTCTTATTTTCTCTTAATTTGTTCTCCTGAACTTCCACACCAGGATGTCTTCTCCAGCGTGGTGGGAAAGAAACGAAAGCGTCTTTCAACAGAAAGTAGAGCGGTGAAGAAAAAGAAGACAACGACGCCGTCAGCAGAGGAAGAGAAGGAGTTTTATGTCCCTTATCAACCCAAGGACTTTGCCTCAGAACGGGGGTAGGGGCAGGACCTTTCCAAGTTTTTTCCTGACTGGGAAATTCTGGGAGTTGAGGTTCACAGGCCTTAAAGAATGCAAGTTCTGGGGGATTCTGGGAATTGAAGCCCACACGTCTTAAAACGTGCTTTAATTTTGGGGTTGAAATCTACCAGGTTTAAAACATGCAGGCTGGGGGATTCTGGGAGCTGAAGTCCACAGATTTTAAAGCCTGTAGGCTGGGGGACTCTGGGAATTGAAGCTGCCAGGTCTTAAAGCATGCACGCTGGGGGATTCTGGGTGTTGAAGTC